ATTCTGTACATATTTTGGACCAGGGGCGGCTTAGTTTTTCAGAAAAGGGTGTATTGTTTTGTGTTTTAAGATATGATCAGAAAAGGTACAGTGTGGGGCTTTTTAGAGCCGCTGAGTCTGATTTTGTAAAAATTTTGGACCAGAGGTGGCTCAGCTTTTTTTTGAAAGAGGGGCGAATATCTGCAGATATACTAAACATGTTTAGTAATTTAAAATGAAATGAAATGAAGAATATAAGAAGGGATTTCCAATCGTCAACTTAAATGAAGTACTTTTCATTGCACAAAACAAAACAGCATCTAAAGTCTAGGAACTAATATCACCACTATTCAAGAAAAAAAAATCACAAACAATGCCCGTAATCAACAACAACAAAAATATCCCCAAAAAACAACTGAAAAAGGTCATTATTTCCTAGAGGGGGTCGTACTAAACAAAACAAGAAAAAAAAAAACTTTAAAAACATATAAATGAAAAAAAGAAACAAAAAAAAACAGGATAGTTTACTTTTCTTCGAAATCGCTGTCCACCTCGTCTTCGAGGGAGAAAGTTAAGTCAGGCTACAGAAGTAGTCCAATGACTTCCTGGCATAAGGTCTGTCCTGATGATGCTGATTTTGGCAGCTTTCTCATTGAAGTGATAACTGGATCAGACGCCACAAGTCAAGCGTGAAACATGTCCAGGTTACACGCAGTCCTATCATGCTTTCGGGTATGTGCTAGCCTGATACTCGTTCAGTGCTTGTGGTTCAGCTCCTGGGCATCCTCTGACATCATACCGATTGGCAAAAGAGCTGCCTTGATGATTTCAGTACCATGCCTCACAATACTCTATGGACGGTAGGGGTAATATCATACCAACCATTTAAATCAAGGCACATTTTGCCAGTTTCTTTGGCATATACTCCATATTTGTCCACGTTGATTTCGTACCCACTTTATAGAGCAGTAAGAATTAGCCGGAATCTGTTAAGGAGAGTAATATCAATCACTGTTAAAAATGAATGAAATTTAATGACATTTGAGAAATTATTTTCCATTAAACGTCATTATTTTTAATTACATCTCCACATTCATTACATTGTAATGAAAATTTCATTACCTCGGTCATGAAGTTTAATGACATTAGCCATGTAATGAAAGTTTCATTACATTATGCAGCTTGTCATGAAATTTTCATTACATGTCATTAAATTTTTCAAAAATATTTAAGCATGACTGAAATTTTTTAGGTTTGTCCAGGATCTAAGTTAAGCTTACTCAAACTAATTTAGCCTTCTATTGGCCGCCAACATCAATTTTTCTCGTACAAGCGTCTATTACGGCGTCATATGCCAAATCTGTCATTCGCAAGTCTGCCGCTAGGTGTCGCATGGTACACGGGGATCACTCTCAACTCTGTATTTTGTATTAAAATATTAAAACGTGAGGAGATATTCTGAAATTTATCCGTGTTTCATGTGAAGTGGTGGATTGTTTAACTAACGGCGAAGAGTTTGGGGGAAAAGAGCGATATTTGAAGTAACCAAATAGGTTTTCCTGATGTTACTCGAAGGCGTCTACGGGCTGCCGTTTGGTAGGGTCAGGCCCCGATCTCCCCCAATCAGGCAACTAAACTGCCTCAGACCAGAGTAGTTGTCCTGGGTCACTCAATTTTTACCTCTTCTCTGCTGTCAGAGTCGTTGTGAATCCACTCCAACCTATGTCAAATCGAATCGAAAAGTTGCGCAATTTGCGTCAACTTTGATCATTTTCATTACGTTTTTGTCATTAAAATTTTCATTACATTCGTTCATTACACTGTAATGAAAATTTTAATAACATATATGTAATAAAAACTTTAATTACATTGTAATGATTATAGCTTCACTACCATGTAATGAAAATGTAATTAAATTTTTTTAACAGTGATATCAAGGCCAGTAACATCTGCCGTAATGGCGTGGTTCTTGAAACACGCCCGCGCTGTACTTCCATCATTCGTGTTGCCAAAGCCCTGCTTTGGCTTATCAACACTCAAACCGAGCTTCAATTTAAAGTTTTCCTGAATTTGTTTCTCCTTTTCTTCAGTCTTGAGTAATTCCGCAGCTGTCAGTCTTGCTTTGGGTTTTGGCCTGGGATGAACTTCGAGCCTGCCTGAAGGAGATGCGCAACAAGTATTCGAAGCTGCGATGAATCCATGAGTGCAAACTTGACATTCCCAAAGTGCATGTTTCAGGATATGGGATGCGTTTGCTCAATTTCCCAACGTTGTTCATTTCTGATGGTAAGGCAAGACCTGACCTAGAAACCAAGATCGATGCTGGCACCTCCGGGGCTGGGGCCGGAGCGGCAATATTCGATGGAGACGCCGCTGATGACGATGGGGTGGCGGGCGTCTTGGGGTTGGAGCGCCCCCGGGCGCGGCGTTGTTGGTCGTGGCAGCGGCAGCACGCCATAGGGTCAAGTGCCGAACATGGATTGGGGTACCAAACATGGATCGCTTCTGTTCGTGGGTCTATATCTCAAGACCAGGTGACCGGATTCCAAATTTCTGTCTTTCCTTGCTTATACTGACCCTTTGACTGTTAGATGGGTCATTCTACCGATTCGGCTGAGATTTTGCAGGGTCACTAGGCTTATCCTTGGCTCGCGACACACCAAAATTCAGCTTCTATCCCAATCCATATGGTCATTCCAGCCAAAAAACACTTTAATGAACTGCATGAACTTCGCAGAGCCAAATCAGGGGCAAATTAGAGACACGGTTTGATTACGATTCCACCTGTGAAATGAACTTACAATGATTTGGCTCTTCGAAACGTAATCCGTACAGGCTGAAACCAATCAAAACACAAGTAACGAAGTAGAAGATATTCATCAGATCACTATGTCTATCTTGGGATCATAGCTTATCCCATTCTTATATACCCAGGCTACAAATTAGTCATTTCTTCGCTAAAGTCCTTCAGACTACGGAGTGAAATTTGTGCTTTCTTCCATAGCTCCCAAACCAAGTCGTGCCCAGGCTGAAATTTTGTACAGTTGCTAGGACCAAGGAAAGGCACTTCCTCAATTTTTTTCATTTTGTTTTAAATATGTTTTTGAGATCTGGAATTATTTTTTTTAAGAAGTAAAAGTTTTTTTTAAATTCATGAAAAAATTCTAAAATGTTGTCCCTATACCCCCTAAGACTTGGTAAAATTTTCAAGTCATTAGGTCAAGCCCTTCCCCTTCAAAGTTGACTTTTACCTAAAAGTCGTAAAACACTCTAAGGCCCGGCCCACTGCTCCGGACTGGGTCGACCTAGGACCTTCACAATTTGTGGGCATCTTTCTCTACCCTGGGGGTACGTGGTAAAATTTTGGTCCAGACACCAAAAAAAATCTTGTGCTCCCTAGTTATGGAATCACTCTGTTACGACAAGCCACTATCTGGCGTACACCTACCTTGTTATATCTTTGTGGAAAGAGTAACCAAAATATCAGTACAGTTTGCCCAGTGATGACCACCCTTTAATTGATGGCCTGCGCCCTGCTGGGTGATGGCTACTTTAGGTTTTGAGAGGGGAGTAGCTCCATGCTTCTATTTTAGACAGTAATAAGTGAGTTCTAAAGTAAAAATTCCAAATCTGCGAAAGGAACGCTGCGAATTCTGGTTTGATCTCATCTCCACCAAGTGAACAAAACATGTCAACGCAGCATTCGGTGCGCTGAGCCCCTGCGGCCACCCACGACTGTAACGAGACGAAATTTTTGCGGCGTTGTTTTAAGGTGAGGGTACAAAACCCCAAAAGCTCATTTGTTTAACTTCTCTCGCCTGGATGTGAAATTAGTGCAAAGTCTAAAATGGCCTTCACAATGGGCACCTTACCCTACAATGCCGAAAAATACTTCGCAAGGTTTTTTGAGTGGAGACCTTGCTCCAGTACTGCATTAGGACAGTCATGTCAGACTCTGATGCACACTCGAAACACCTTGCAAATGCAAAGTATTCTCCGGCATTGTATCGCCTCTCTTTCAAACTATTTTCAGTGCGCTGCGAAGTATTACATTGCAAACTTTTTTTTCTTCGCAATAAACGAACTATTTCTTTGCAAGCTTTCGAGAGTGCTCTTTTATTGACGGCTCTAGCAGTTCACGGTAAGTTGTCCAACATGGCTCGAAGGTCGAGTTAAGTTTTAAGTGGTTGATGTGAGTTGCCAAATTTGGAGTGCTCCGCAAACTGAAGTGTGTATGTAGTCCGCTCTTATAATAGCATGCTTCCAAGCACACTCTTATTTACAGCATACTTGCCACGCACACGCTAAAGTAAACTGTGCCTGGCATGTACACGCTAGTATACACTCGGTTAGTCCTATCTAAAAGCATGGGCCAGTAAAAGTGTACTTGAGGGCACTCTTTTATCTAGCGTGTACATGCCATGCACGCTCTACTTTGGCGTATGTGCCTAACAAGTATGCTGTACAAGAGTGAGCTTGGAGGCATGCTCTAATAAGAGTGCACAATGTGGGCCTGCACACTTAAGTTTGCAGAGTGGCTATGTTAAGCGAGTGACCAATAAGTGCGAGAGACGGAATAAGTAACTGTTGAAGAACGGGTTTCAACTGGTTCACAAGTGGGTGATTCCATGTCCAAATCGTTCTGTTCCCGACTTCGCTCATATTCAGGGAAATGTCGCCAACAATGGTAAAACTGCAGCGTAACTCTATGCTTGAGTCAAGCATTAAGTTTCCCTCGAAGACGTTACGCTTGAAATGAAGCATACTCTGAAAATTCCTCCATGCATATAGATAGGGGGAATCTTGGCCGATGAGCCTGTGACACTTGATTTCAAGCGTAAACTGGTTACGCTGGAAAACAGAGGGTGATACAATGCTTTAGTTTCACCGGTGAATTCGTGTGTAGATGACCTGTGCGAAAAGATTTTGGTCAAAAGTGGACCGTTTCGGACACCTGGGTACGTGACCTTTCAGGGTCACTGAAAAACGCGCTAGGAAAACGAATAAAAACTATTTGCAAGTTCAGTGAAACTTACTGAAAAGTTAAAAACAAACCGTTTATTTCCACAGAAAACGGTGGTCAGAATACAGAATAGAAATGTACGATTAACCAGAAAGCTAGTTCACAATACATAAATGAAAAGGCGGCTACCTTTACTAATTGTTATACTAATTGTGAAACGATATCTAAAGCAGGTTATAAATTCAAATGAATCCAACAAATAATCGAAAATACTTCATTGAAAAAGTTAAGCGAGCGAACGTTTTCATAAAACTAGGCTTGCCCTTGCCGAAAATGGTTAGCATGCAGAGCGATGTGCTGCTCCTCCGCGTGACAACACGCACAGATATCTCGTTGGTCTTCGCTGCCGCTAGAACCATTCGTCCCTTGAGTGGGCCCTGCAGCACGACGGGTGGGCGGAGTCCTCCGATTCCTCCTCAGGGTCGTCGGGGTTGTCCTGAGGAGCCTGGCTGCTTGACGACGCCGTGCTGTCCACCTCGGTGAGCGAGGTGCGCTGGTAGCGCAGCACCGACGCGCACTCGGCGCAGTCCACGTTCCGGCCTCGGCCCCCACGGCCTCGACTGGGGCGACGGGACCTCCCTCCGCGACCCTGGAAGACGGACAATGGTGCACTGAATAAACAGAGACAGAGAGGGAGGGAGAGAGGGAGGGGGAGAGAGAGAGAGAGAGAGAGAGAGAGAGAGAGAGAGAGAGAGAGAGAGAGAGAGAGAGAGAGAGAGTGGGGGCAGGGTAAGGAAAACGATTTTCCGTTTTTGATAATTTTCCGACTCTAAAGGCCTCGAAGCTACCAAACCTGACCCTAATTTGACCCACAGCACCGTCAAATAGGCATGGAGATCTATCTTACAAGTCGTACAATGGCCGAAATGTTAGGCCCTAAAACTGTTAGACGTGAAATGAACTACTTTCTCTTCGGCTTTGCACGAATTTGTTCGTTCTACAGAGAATAAGTCCTTCAAACTTGACTCTTAAAACATATGATATGAAGTTTTAGATAAGAACCTGATATATTGACAATTAAATCAGTAGAACGGTCAAGATTGTGTAGCTACAGAGAAAATGGTACGTTTATCGCCTGCTTTTAATACTTTATAAGCAAGAGAGTTAAACTCAATAGGAGGATGAGAGTGTAGGGATGCCGACAAAGGAAGAGACCTTTCGCTTTAGAAGGTTAAGTATCCGCCACGTTTAGTTCCCACCGCTGACGATAAACAACTTGGGTCAAATCATTTGAGAACAAAATGAAAATTCAGCCAAAAAAGATAAAATGAAACTGTCTAGAACATGAAGCTTTAACAATCAAACGCCCGTTTCCATTGAGTTAGACGCAAAGGCCTTCAACAGGAAAACATCACTGAAAAACCAAACGTGGTCCAGACCCCACCACTGGTGTGGTCAGATGGGTGCCATTTTGACCACATCAGTTGATGTGGTCTATACCACGTTTGACCACGTTTAGTGCGGTCTAGACCACATTTGGCCACGTTTGGTGTGGTCTAGACCACACCAAACGCACCGCAAACGTGGTCTAGACCACACCAGCTGGTATGGTCAAAACGGCACCCATTTGACCACACCTGGTGCGGTCTAGACAACGTTAGGCTTCTCAGTGATCCCTCAGTTAAAAGCTGAAACTTTGCATTTATCAAATTAAAGGAAGGTTATCCACGCTCCGCTAAAATTCGAAAAGCAACACATAATTGTCATGGAGTCAACCACCCTCAAACCCATGGTATATTTGGTGCGTGGCTGAGAGCGGTGATCTACACTGCAAACCTAACTGTCTACTTAGCACGCACTTACAAATGCATGCTTGCAAGTACACACTTACAAACGCATGCTTGGTCATGCACTTACAAACGCATGCTTGGCCAAGCATGCACTTACAAACGCATGCTTGGCAAGTACACACAACTGCATGCTTGGGGCCATATAACTCCATGCTACGCATATGCATTTGTAAGTGTGTACTTGCCAAGCATGCATTTGTAAGTGCATGCTTGGCTAAGCATGCGTTTGTAAGTGCATGCTTGGCCAAGCATGCGTTTGTAAGTGTGTACTTGCAAGCATGCATTTGTAAGTGCATGCTAAGTAGACAGTTAGGTTTGCAGTGTACGCCACCGAGCGACCAAGTATCCTTACCGTTGCCTGGCCTTGCGGCGGGTCGGCGACGAGGTTGCTGTGGTTGGCCACGATCTTGGCTCCGCAGCGGCCGGCGTGCAGGGTCTCGCAGCGGTCGGGGCACAGCTGCCGGTAGTCCGCCATCGTCGGGGACGTCCTGACCACGTGCAGCCCCGGGTGGGCGGCCACCACCTCGCGGATCTCCGCTTCCTGGCGCTCGCACTCGTGGTAGATGTCCAGGCGCAGCCAGCGCAGTGTGGGCGGCATCGCCGCACCGAGGCGCTTCAGAGCGCCGAGGGGGATGTCAGTGGCGTAGCCTGCCCGGGGGGAAAAGACAAGTTACTCTCACTGTGCGTCAATACACTCAGAATGATAAAGTCATGATCAATACCCAACTATGGGCGAGGTATATTCTATCGCCCAAATTTGGGCGAGGTTTGATTCCTCGCCCAAATTTGGGTGAGGAAGGTGGTATCGCCCAAAATTGGGTCAGGAAGGGTGAATCAGCTGCCTTTAAGGCTCCATAGTATTATGACCCAAATTTGGGCGAGGAAACCTTCCTTACCCAAATTTGGGTGATAAAGAATTCCTCGCCCAAAACTTTAGTCACGATCATGACTCTTTTATTCCCAGTTAACTGAGTATCGGGTGAATAGACCCGTCGTGGCCGAGTGAAGAACAAGAAGAATCACCAAAGACAACTAAGCACCTTTACTTTAGATATTACAGACTCTTTGCTTGTAAGAAGTTAGTGAGAATATTTTACAGTAATTACAACATAATTTCACTGAACAAATGCACTGTTCATGCCCTAAATGAGTCTTTTATAATTCTTCTAGTTCTTCACTCGACCCCGACTAGAATGGTCTTTTGCACGCTCTAGCCTTACGAAGTACTTTCAGCGTCCGTACTGCAAGCTAATTTAGAACCTAAAATGTCTTGCTGAAAGGTTGCATACACTGAGAATCCAAACGCTGGTGCAATGCAAAAGCATTGCACATGAAGTGCAATGCCTCCCTATTCCCATGCATTAGCATAGGGCATTTTCGGGATGCATTGCACGTAAGGTGCAATATGGCTGAGGCATTGCACGTATGGTGCGATATATCAGATGCATTGCACCGTACGTGCAATACTCATAGCGTCTGGAATTTCAGTGTAACATGTTAAGATTTTCTCCATGTCACAAACGAACTTCGTCAAAATATCTATAAGGTACAGTGAATTCTCCATGGTATGTTATAGAGTCAGCTGCAGCACCACGATATGCACTCTAAAATTCTACAGTGAAGATTCTCCATATTATGGTGAAAATGTTCCATATTATGGTGGTGCAGCTGACTTCGAAACAAACCATTGAGAATTCACTGTACCTTATAGATATTTTGACGAGTTTCGTTCGTATTATGGAGAAAATCTACACTATAATATGTTGGTGCAGCCTTTCACCGTAAGACATTTACTGTGTGGAACATTTTCACCAAAATACGAAGAATCTTCACTGTACAATATTTAGAGTGAAGTACTCACCGACCTCCAGGCGACGCAGCTCGCCCAGCTTGCCCAGCGCCTTCGCCAGCGCGTAGAACGAGCCATCGCAGCCGCGGAAGTCGCACTTGATGAAGCGCAGTTCACGCAGGCTGGTGAGCTTGGCCGCCGCCCCGGGCAGCTGGGGCGTGCTGTACTTGCTGAAGCCCTCCAGGCCCAGCGCCTCGAGCGGCAGGCCACTGTCGGGGTGCGCACACGCGTTGAGGAAGCTCACGCTCTTGCGAGTGCCGTCCCTGTAATGGTCACACGTCATTTAAACGAACGTATCAAGATTTACGTTAGAACGAACGTGACGCCACCACTGTCCCTCATAGCGTGCACAGTGGGCCAGAAGACCGGTGGAGGCGACCAAAACTCCAGACGCGTTTTGAGCTTCAGAGTCGCTAAATGGGACTCGAACAGAACGTGTGACCCCACCAATGGATTGCTCTCCGAACGAGGAATCCATTGGTGCGGTCACACGTTCGGGTCGAGGCCTGTTTAGGGACTCTGGAGCTCAAAACGCGTCTTGAGTTTTGGCCGCCTCCACCGGTCTTCTGGCCCACTGTGGCGTGGTACAGACTACAGTAAATGCGTGGTAATCGCAAAACTGTGGTTACCCGAATTTACCACACGTGGAAATGCGGTCTATACCCCTTACAAATAAGGTCGACAAAGCACCACATAAAATTCATGATGAATACCACAGCAAGTATGTAGTCAGTCTTCTATACGTCATAAAAGGGTGGTCTTGACCACGCAATACATTGGGTGACGGCTATATTGTATGCTGGCACACCAACTATTCTTGCCACATTTGAACGTGGGGTAGAATGAGGTAACCACATTTTAGTTCTAGCCGCGGCCAAATGAGGTAAATTCACCACACTTTCGGTTTCAGCGTATTCTTGGGTTCACAGTGAAGTTACGGACGGTTCACTGTAAGGGAGCAGACCGTGTCGCAGGCGGCCAAAACTCTCGACGCGTTTTGAGATCCAGAGTCCCTATAAAGGACTCTGACATAACGAGTGACCCCACCAATGGATGCCTCGTTCGGAGAGCAATCCATTGGTGGGGTCACACGTTCGGTTTGAGTCCCACACTGTGGCTAAAAGCTACGGAAAATTCTGTAAACAGGTTGTGGTAATTCTCCGTAGGCCCCTTGTCAGTATTCTCCGTAGGCTCTTACAGTATTTTCCGTAGGACCGCACAGTGTTCTCCGTAGGGCTATACAGTCTTCCAGGCCCTACGAAGAAGACTGTGCGGTCCTACGGAGAAAACTGTGCGGTCCTACGGAAAATACTGTAAGAGCCTACGGAGAATATTGATAAGAGGGCTACGGAGAATTACCACAACCTGTTTACAGAATTTTCCGTAGCTTTTTGCCACAGTGCAGTCTGCGACTCCCGAGCTGAAAACCCGTCCGGGATTTTGACCGCCTCCACCGGTCTTCCGGCCTACTGTGCGGCACCTTGGAGACTCACCCAGTGGCGTCACAGGTGTGGTACGCCTCGTCACCCAGTAGCGTCACGTCCCTCAGGGCCCTGCAGCCCAGCAGCGGACGCAGGTCCATCTTGAGCGGCACGGTCACGACGCGCAGCGAGGGGAAGCTCAGGCCCTCCAGGGACGGCAACGGGGCGAGGCGCAGGTGCAGCTCGCGCAGGTGGGCCGCGTTGGCGCGAAGCAGCGGCCACGCCACTGTGCGCTGCCACCGCTGCAGACTGTCGTTTCGCTCCTCCGTCAGCTGTGCAAGGAAAGGCACGTGCACTACAAACTACTCTACAAACTCAAGTGTCGACAAAGTACACTCCAGGCTGGAGCATGCTTGCCAGGTACACGCCAGGTGGCGTTTACCTGCAAGTACACTGTTGCTAGAGCAACAGCGTAAAGCAGATGCTTTACGCGCAAAGGGTACACACTCAACCAGGGATCCTTAACTTAACTTAACATTTAACTAACACTGCTTTCAGAACGTAACATAAGACAATGTTCGCTAAAGGTTGAGGGTACGGACTTATGAAAGTACTTGCAAAAGTATATCCACACAAGTTCGAGACAAAAAAAAATAAAATAACCTACCCTTTTGAAAAGATGTTAGAAGTTAAGGGTAATAACTTTAACTCTTATCATAACGTTATGATGCCCTTATGAGGTAAGTTAAGGATCCCTGCACTCAACATCTTATGATCGTTTTTATACGTATTACGATGGTTTTTCATCGTAAGGTACGCATAAATTTGCACATACGTAATATGCTTAATTTATCATCGTATTACGTATGAATTTCATCGTATTACGCATGTGTATCATCGTATTACGCATGAATTTTATTGTAGTACGTATGTTCTCATTTCAACGTAAGTTACAATGGCCCTTTCATCGTAAGAATCTGAGGGTGTAGGGGACATCAGCAACAGTGTACATGCCAGGTTGACGCCAGGTGGAGTGTACATGCCAAGTTGACTTCAGGCCGGTGGAGTGTACATGCTAGGTTGACTCCAGATGGAGTGTACTATGTCGACACTTGAGTTTGCAGAGTACGGCAAGACTAAATCAAATCCAGGCAGATTTAAGAGCAGGGACGGATTGAACTCCTCAAAGTACACAACATCCATGACAATGACAGATCGGGAGGTAGTGGTTTAGATATTCGTGACAGAGAAACTCACGTGCAGATGGAATTTGGTGAGCTCGGTTGACATGACCTCGTTCACGTCCTCGCTGTAACTGTACCCACACTGGCGAAAAAAAGAAAAACCAAGGGATAAGAGTTATGCCCTTGATTGCAGAACAGCCTTTCGTGCCTATTAAGGGCATAAAATATAGAGCCTTTGAAGGGCACACTGGTAAAACTGAAGCGTAGTACTAATTAAGAGTCTTTGGAGGGCACACTGGAAGAACTGAAGCGTAGTACTAATTAAGAGTCTTTGGGGGGCACACTGGTAAAACGGAAGCGTAGTACTGAGTATTACCCTCCGTTTTCAAGTGTTATCAGATTTACGCTTGAAATCACGCGTGACAGGCTCATCCGACAAGATTGCCCTTATCTAAATGCGTGGGGGAATTTCCTGAGTATGCTTCATTTCGAGCGTAACGTCTTCAAGCGTAACGTTATAGTTGACTCAAGCATAGGAGTCACGCTTTAGTTCTACCAGTGCAAGCCCTAATACTAATTCACGCTCCTGCCAAGAGCATAAAAGAACTCACGAAATCACTATGAAATCTTGCGTAACTGTTACACTGTTATTCAAACTGCGATAACCACTGTCAATATTTTGCAATAAAACACTTATCACATTTTTTTTTGCTATGATGACAACTAAATATCTGCAAAAAAAAATTACAGCTAAATTTTGAAATAAAGTATCACATTTTTGCGATAATGACTACAAAGAAAATGTGATAAAAGTTACCACAAAACGCTCTATTATCGCAAAAATTGTGGGGTGGTTATTGCAAAAAAAGTGCAATAACAAAATTATCGCACTCCAGGATGCGATAAATCGTGGGAATCGCAAACTCGGTTTTATCGCAAAAATTTGAAGTAAAAGTATCGCAAAATGAATGACAGTGTAGTTTGAAGTCCTTTGATTTACCTGAGCAGCGTGGCGGGCGACCCACGGCTCCGTGGACCACCACCAATGGGCCAGCATGCCGGTGGACCACGTCCAGTCCACGACGAGCTCCCTTAGCGACAGGCGTGCCAGCGTCTTCCACACGTCGTCTGGCATGTAGGGCATGCCGTCGCCGTCACTGTAAATGTAGTCCTCCGTGTCTGCTATCCGAAGGTCCTGCTTCGGCTGTCGCCACTCCAGCGCGCGGAGCGTGTCGGCCTGCGCGCGGATCAGGGGCAGCGCCAGCTCCTTGGGGACCTGCGGGCAGGGCGGGCCGGCTCAGCATTTTTCTGTCATTAGAGTTCAGGTCACAGCCAGGACAGGGATTTCGACGCGTCCTACACACTAAATTCCTATGGACTTTTTGTACATAACTATGGCCGTATTTGCGCATACGTAAGTTATGTACAAATTTGACCAAAAATTAGGTACAATTGTAATAAAACTTCAGCACAATGCGAAATTTTTGTCCCTAATTTATATACAAATGTACAAATATGGCCATAGTTATGGACAATAAGAGTCCAAAGATTGTACATAGCTTGCGTATGTACAAATATGGCCATAGTTATGGACAAGGTAGGTTTACGCCAGACCGCGTCTTGTCGTAACAGGCTTCGCGATGTGTCGCTGCCTGTTTCTCCAATCCGCGCCTGGCGTACCTACCTTGGCCTGCGGCGCTAGGCTGCCTTCGGCAGACAATGCTTCTCCATCATCAGTTACTTCTGAACTGTTGCATGCTGGGGGGCTCCGCTCCCAAGACCCCCTTCATTCTACATAGAGGTGCTTCATCTACAAATTACACGATCTTGACCCTTGTAACTTTTCAACTTGTCGTGGCTAGGTGGCTCCACCCCCAGACCCCCCTTTCATCCAGACAGGAGAGGTCTACCGACAGAAAACTCGATTTTTCGCCGTTTTTAGGTGTTTTTCGGCTATAAAAACTGAACCAGTTGAGCTAGGTTGGTGAAATTTCGCGTGTGCCGAGCCAAGAACATACCTAATAACCCTGCGAAATCTCAGCCAGATCGGCCGAGCCGTTCAGGAGGAGTAGTGTACACACACACACACACAGACACACACACAGACAGACAGACAAAACTTTTCAATCGCACTGGAGTAACAGGCTTCGCTATCGCTCAGCCAACAATAAAAGTCCAGAAACATTTAGTGTGTAAAAGAATGATCCAAATGCGCAGAGCAGATCCTAGAAGATCCCAACTACCTGAGCTGATTCAAGAAAATCGTAACTGTCACGAATCGAATCAGTTCTGAAAGTGCTCGAGTCGAACCTTTTCACATTCCTGACCGACAGATATCTCCTTTCTCGTCAAATAGCAACGAATTTGCTTTGACAACGTCAGCAAATTTGATACGAAGAATTAGCGGCACAGAGTTTTAAATTCAGATTCAAACCGAATTTCGACGATCCGATTCGGCACCGAAAAATTCTATCAGCCCTCACTCTCATTCCAGGAACGTTACATCACGTTGAAACGAACGTGACAAAATGTCACGTTCGTTTCAGCATTGTGTCACGTTCGTTTGAACGTGAACAAGCTGATTTTTGGCCCATTCACACCCAAACAAATGTGACACAATGCTCAAACGAACGTGACATATTGTCGTTTCAACGTGATGTCACGATCCTGGATAGAGGGTGACCCCCAATCGAGATGCGTTTAGCTGGCATCCTTTGTCAAGCTTTGCTCCAACTCAGCGGTCGATAGAGAAATCCGCCCCACACTGACAACTCACGCGCAGCATGGCGAGCTCCTGGATGGGCACGTCGCACGCGGCACCAAGCGCGTTCAGCAGGTCCTCAGGGGGCCGCAGCTTGAGCGACAACTCGAGCCTGCGCAGGCACGGCGCGCGCAGCAGCACACGGCGCATCGCGCCCGCGCCACGCTTCTTCTCCACGATGCGCAGCCACAGCGCCCCGCCCTGAAACAGGAGCACCAATCAGAGCCCAGCTATATCTAAATCGAGGGAACCGCACTGAGAAAACCTTATGCACTATTGTAAGCCTCTCATAAAACAAAAAAAAACAGCTTGATATTGCACTCTTGGTGCCACATTGTCAAAAAAAAGGTCGTGCAGAAACAATTAATATCAGCATTTAGGATACAATTTGTGTGCAAACAACATCTTTTGCCATTAACAGCTCGATTAAAATAAATGATGTATAATATTAGAGCCGTCATCTATTTTGTGCCTTAAAGTCACAGGGAAAATACTACTGTTTAAGTAGAACCATGAAAAATAAATTTAGCGACAAAAGTTTTCAATCAATACTTGACGCAGACATTACAAAATCTTTAAACCTACAATACTTGAGGTTGACTAACAGCATGTTTTGTTGGTCAAGGACTTTGAAGGGGGCCTGATACCCAATATGTTATTACAGGTTTGTCAATGGAAAATTATCCTTTGGTTTTTAATACAACTGTGGTTTAACAAGCTATTCGCTCCAAAACAATTCTTGTCCCTAGAAATATAGCAATAAATTCGTAGGTTCATTACGTCAAAAAAATTATAAACGAATGAGACAAAATCACGTTTCTTTGAGCATTGTGTCAAGTTCGTCTGAATGTGAATAAGTCATAAATTAGCTTATTCGCTTTCAAACAAATGTGACAAAATGCTCAAAGGCACATGACATTTTGACACTCTCTTTCAAATGTGATGCCACGTTTCTGAAATGAGAGTTTTTTCATGTCTAATACAGTTGGTAAGGTTTTCAGAGTGTGCGTACAGCACTCTGCAAGAAAAAAACCACAACAAAAGTACACACAGTCAAGTCCTTACGGATAGCGTGTTTGTAGGTTACGGATAGTTTTGTGCAGCCATATTACGGATCGGATTTTGTTTGTAATACGGATGTTTTTGTCCGTAATACAAAGGTTTTGATGTCCGTATTTTAAAAATAATTTCGTTGTAACATACGGATTCCCAAATCTTTGTATTACGGACAAAAACATCCGTACTACAAACAAAATTCGATCCGGAACATGGCTGCACAAAACTATCCGTAACTTACAAACACGCTATCCGTAAGGACTTAAGCGTGCACAAATTCCTGGCAAATTTTTTTTATCAGAAATTTATTGAACTTTCCAGGTACAACAATTGTTGTACAAAGTACAATGGTACCAGCATGACGAGTGCTGTGCAGTCCAGTTCTCTTTGTGCTTTCTACAATCTCTGTTGTACTTTTGGTGTACAGTTTCTGATGAATTTTTGTTGTTCCATTCACACTGTTTCTTATAGTGCACACATTGACCCCCCGACTCACCCCCAGTGGCCGCGTCTGCGGCTCCCAGGGTCTGTCCGGCGTCTCGTCGAACGACACGCACACGCGGCTCCACAGTCGCGCGTCCATGGCCACCTTCCGCCACCGGCGGCAGACGCCGTACACGGAGTACAGCACGGCCTCGGGCCCCGCCAGCGCGAAGATGTGGTGCAGGACATCGTCGGACAGGTCTTCCACGGACATCTGCAAGCAAGAAAGGCACGCTCTGAATGTTGTTCTGTTGAGATTCTCCATATTATGGTGAAAATGTTCCATACTATGGTGGTGCAGCTGACTTCATAACGTACCATTGAGAATTCATTGTACCTTAGATATTTGGCCGAATTTCGTTGGTATTATGGAGAAAATCTCCGCGATAATATGTTGGTGCAGCCTTTCACCGTAAGACATTTACAGTACACCGGCCGGCCATTAATCACTGCACTCTACATGTCTTAAGGTGAAAGGCTGCACTAACATACTATGGTGGAGGTTTCCCGAGTAAATCAAGAATAATTCAACAAAATATAGCTGCACCGGCATACAATAGTGGAGATTTTCCCCATAATACATGGATAATTCGACAAAATAAAGCGAATTTTCGATGGTACGTTACAAAGTCAGCTGCGCCACCACAATATAGAGAACTTTCTCCTTGATACGGACTTTTCGAGTGTGCCCGGGTAAAATCTTGGCGGTCAAGATAACCCAAAAGTGGTCTCAATTTTGATTTCCAGTCCCAAGTGTCCCTACATCAAATAACTCGTCTAGGTGCCCGCTGTAGGCTTCCGAAGTCCCACGTCACCAAAAAAAGGCGCACAGAAAGTAGACTATTCTAGTCGTGGCCGAGTGAAGAACAAGAAGAATCACAAAAGTGTACTTTTTTGCACTTTTACTTCAAATGTTTAAGTCCCCTTGCTTGGTGGAAGTTAATTCAAATATTTTCTAGTAAATGCAACATATTTCATCAAATATAATCACTTTCAATGCCCTAAATGGCGTCTTTTGTGATTCTTCTTGTTCTTCACTCAGCCACGACTAGAATTGTCTGTTAGAGCGTGTAAGTATTTTGAAACCACGAAAGCCCCTCGCCTACGAGACGCAGGATTTGAGGCAAACCGCTTCAAAAGGTAAAGAAGAAACCGTGCCGATACGGCGCACCTTTCGAACAGTTTCATACCACTGTGAATGAGAGGTTGGCCGAGTTATTTCCGGTTATGACTAAGATCTTCACTTTGCCGACGACCAGAATAGGGTATTGTAGCGTATCCCTAGACCGGAAGTCACTGAACACAAGTAAGAACCAAAACCGCTTTTGAGCATGCGCTGACCCTCCACCTGAGGCAGCGTCTGCGCAGAAGCTGTTAGAGTTCTTACTTCCGTTTCTAGCCTTCTGATCCAGAGATTCGTTAATATACTCTATAATTTATTCCTCTGTTGAGGCGCTCAAGGATACGCCCATCTACGTCAACGTCACATTGTTATGCCGAGCAGAACGACAGCAGACGATCTCTGCCGTTTCCGGTTTAGAACTTCTTTCGCCTCACTTCCGGTTTGAAATTCGGCGCATTACCCTGTGCCTCTAATGAGTGACTTTCCCAACAGGCAACACTAGAGTGGCAACACAGTATCGCCAATATTTGGCGATACTTTTTGGTATCGCCGAAACCACGGCATTCCCGCGAGTGGTTCATGAACTAGGAACTTGTCCCCTTGATTTGTTCAACGTTTATTGCCAAATTGTGGCAATACTCCGAAGTATCGCCAAATTTTGGCGATACTTTTGTGTATCGCCGGTTCGAAGGCAATACTTTTTCGGAAGGCCGTTTATTGGCGATACTTAATTGTATCGCCAAAAAAGGTACCAAAAGTATTGCCTTTGGATTTACAGTGCCTCGGTCCTACTCGGCTAGGCCAGCAGAGGGAGCGACGCGAGACTGTGCGCATGCCGTCCTGTTGCTCTTCTTCCAAACTTGGAGTGACATGTACACTGTCAGAAATTTCCATTCCCATACAGAGCGGTTCGGCTGTTTTTAACAGAACTTCATTCTTGAGCGACTATAGGGTATGTTGACGAATCCCTCCACCGGAAGTCCAACAACAAAACGATGAGAGAAAGCCGAACGGCTCCCCTGCACTCAGAGTCAGCGTCCGTATGATCAAGAGCAGAAGCGGGTTTCATTATACCGTAAATTCTATCACTTCCGGTCCAAGGACTCGGTAAAATACCCTGTTCTGCTCCATAACACTCCATACTCACACTCCCCGCGTCGTCAATCTTGCTAGCAACTTTAGTCCCTCGATGTTGCTCAAGTGAAGCACTCGACGTCACAGCTTCGGGCGCGAAATCAGGAGCGTGGTCGAATGCCGTGCGCAGCGCGGGGCGGACAAGCCGAGACTGAGTTTCGTCTGCCGGCTGCTACTCCACGGCCTCAGCCTCACGGCGCGCTCCGTGCTGACTTCGGCAGTAAGTCGAGGCGCTGACCGGAGGGAGGGGGGAGGGGGGGTTGTTGTTGGCTCGGCGAGGCGTGCGCGCGCCGCGCGGCACATCGACAATCCCTCCCCGAGCACAGCGCTCAGTCCACGCGGAACATCGACAACCCCTCCCCCACTCCCCGCGCGTGTTCTCCCTCTGGGCTTTCACGCACCCCGGGACCTCGAGACTAAGATCAAAAGCAAGTCCTGAATCCTCCAGGTCCTTAAACCTATGTTCATGGACATTTATTTGTTCACAGAATCAGGAACAATCCAAATGTCCACAAGCACTGGTAAAACAAAGGCATAAAAATTACGCCCTTCAAAGGGCGCAAATCGTTTTATGCCTTTGCGAAGGGCGTAAATGGTATAGGAATTTCAAGCAAAATTTTAATGCCCTTCCCAAAGGCATTAACGATTTATGCCCTTTGAGGGCATAATTTTGATGCCTTTGTTTCACCAGTGAGGGGCCGTCCATTAATTACGTTCCGCGCCTTGGTGGGGGCAGCGTATCTTTTCTGTGTTACGCTACGTTACCCGGGGACACAGGGGGTCCGAGCCAGCGTAACATTACGCTGCGGGGGCCGCCACACGGAAACGACTTATTGCTGATCGACCCAATGCAGGAGAATACTGTACCTTCATTTTCGAAGTTCAAACGGTAAATAGGGGTGAATAATGAGATGATCTGAGAGACTTTTGGTAACGTTTTGCAGGTAGTGGGGGTGGGTTCAACCCCAGCGTAACGCTGCGTAACATGGGGGGAGGAGGGGGGAAAAATTGCTCGTAAGTGCGTAACGTATTTGATGGACGGCCCCTGAGGGGCTGCTTAGCTCGTCAGCGAGATGCTCTTTTGTCCTTCTCGTTGGCTCGCTCACTTCCGGTTTAGATCTTCACTGAAGTACACTATTGCGTTTTCGCTCGGAAGAAAGGGGGGAGGGATCTTGTCCGCGTAGTGCTGCCGGAACAGGCGAACGAGTCAGAGCCAGCGTAACGTGTTGCTAAACATTAAATGCATGAGGGACTGTGACACTTGTAACAATCAAACAGTTAACTTACGTAAGTACGCTCACGCTCAATTAGAAATTAAGGGGGGACCCTGGTGAAAAAATCGCCAAAATTCCAATAAATAGTATTTTCAAAGTTCATAGATAAAAACGTGCATAGAAGGTTTCAGATTCAACAGGTTGAACACCTTTAAGCTAAAGGGGTAGTTTCTTTTTCATTTGGAAGGAAATAACATTGAGATCAGTTGTCGTTGGCTTCTACGCTCAACTTCACAGCTTTGCTCAGTCGACAAAAAATTTTGTCGTAGAAAGACTTCCTGCGTTCCTGGTTGACACCTACATGAGTCGTCTAGCATGGACTCTATTCATTGATGACTTGTCGACAAATTTTAGTGACGGAATCTTGATATCAGCCCTACTTTTTTTAAAACACACCTAAAAATTTGAAACAAAAGGGAAAAAAATCACTTTTTTCTTAATGTTAAAATTTGAAAACTCATATCTCAGGACAGAAGTTGAATTTGAAAATTCCGTCACTAAAATCTCTTCTATACATCTTTAGGATAACCCAAAAAAATTTTCAAGACTTTCCGTCCCAATGAAAGACGCAGGAAGATTTTTCCCCAACGCTCCAAAAAACACTAAAAAGCCACTTTTCTCAGAGACCGTTCAACATTTTGGATTGAATTTTGTTTTGGGAACTCACCATAATGAACCTAATAATTAAGCAAAGTTTCAACTTCCTGGGATTATTTTGAAGCCTACTTGAAAGTTTCACCAGGGTCCCCCCTTAAGCGTAACGAGACGCTGTGCGAGACCGCCATGAATCTGTCCCTTATTTGCGCATTTGTGTTTCCACTGTACATCCAACGGCAGTATTTTTAGTACCTTTTTTGGCGATACAATTGAGTATCGCCCATAAACGGCCTTACGGAAAAGTATTGCCTTTAAAACGGCGATACACAAAAGTATTGCCAAAATTTGGCGATACTTTGGAGTATTGCCACGATTTGGCAATAAACGTCGAACAAATCAAGGGGACAAGACCTTTGTTTAATGCCGTGGTTTTGGCAATACCCAAAAGTATGGCCAAATTTTGGCGATACTTCTGTGTATCGCCGTTTTGAAGGCAATACTTTTCCTCAAGGCCGTTTATTGGCGATTCTCAATTGTATCGCCAAAAAATGTACTTTAGTATCGCCTTTGCAATTGCAGTGTCTAAAATCTCGATTTGTACCGCTTGATTCCAATAGACCATTCTAGTCGTGGCCGAGTGAAGAACAAGAAGAATCTCAAAAGACAACTGTTCAGCACTTTAACTTTGAATATTTAAGACCCTTTGCTTGGTAGAATTTAGTGAGAATATTTTATCGTAAATACAACATATTTTCAGTGAATATATGCACTCCAAATGCCTCAAATGAGTCTTTTGTTATTCTTCTTGTTCTTCACTTGGCCACGACTAGAATCATGGAGTCACAGATATAGGGAGTCGCTAGGTTGCGCTCCTTGTCACTAGGTATCAAGAAATCTCTCCACCGCCATCGTCAAGAGTACAGGAACGTGCCGGCTTCTTTTTGTTCTTTTTAAAAATACATGCCAACGAAGGAAATAAATTCAGAACGCTCAGTACATGATAAAGTTCCAGATAATAAGCAATCAAAGAAACAAAAAGTTTCTAAATTTTATTCCAAGTCTAAAAGGCTTCTCTGTAGCAATTATTTCAATCTTACGTGTGTTGATGTGTCCAAATCATGTCCGTGTCATGTTGGTATGAGACACTGTTGATGTTTTGCCTGACGGAGTTCCTAACCTCTAAGGGCACGGCTTTAAAAGGTCCTCAATTTTTTCACCAGCCAAAAACTAAGAAAAGAGCCACATAAATGTCTTCCTTACTTTATCATGGTTATTTAAAGACCAGCGTGTAACTTTTTCGACTTACGACAGAACCCGTAATTTGCTTTAGAAGGTGGCCACCGGTGGCCACCTCCAAACCTTGCGACTCGCTCGTGACTGCGACGGCCGGCGGCCATGTTCTATTGCTGTCTCACTCCCACGATTCTATGATACCTGGTGACACGACTTTAAAAGGTCCTCAATTTTTTCACCAGCCAAAAACTGAAAGAATAGCCACGTTGATGTCTTCCTTATTTACATGGTTTTTAGAGAGCAGCATGTAACTTTTCGACTTACGGCAGAACCCGTAATTCGTTTAAGAAGGTGGCCACCACTAAACCTTGCGACTCCCTATATCTGTGACTCCATGCTAGAATGGTCTATTTGAAATGTCGAGCGATGTTAGGTTCCTGCTAATACGGCGTCTTTTGACTTCCATTCCACGATCCTCAAAAGTTATAGGCGAGGAACGTTTTTTTTTTTTCCTTTTTTCAAAAGACTACCCACGCGCCGTAAGACTCAACCCATATCGCAGTTTCACATCTCTCTCTTTCATCTCATTGTGTCATTGGAAACGTTTCCTTGCAGCAGAATGCCTCCCAAGAAGAGGGCGCAGTCAAACCGTGGAAGTGACGCCAGAAAGAGGAGCAAGCAGGAAAGCAGTCCGCCAGAGCTACGAGAAAGACCTGCAACTGACAGGTATGCTTGCTAAGGCTTCTGTTTCGTCTCACGTTTTCTTGCGTTCGGCAAAGTGGAAAGAACTTGACTGAATCGGAATCACATATTCTCGTTAACTTCAAAGTTCGCTCGAATGTTGGGGGCTAAGCTATCCTTCCAAATTTCAACCCCTTTAGCTCATGTGCGCAAACGTAATTGCGTATATGCATTAGAAACCTTCATATTAATTGATCCAAGGAGGGGAAGAAGGGAATAATACGACTTATCTCCACATTGAGTTTTTATTAGGTCGTTGTGCCTTAGAATGGTTTGCATCATTGCTCTAAATTACAATTCCTGGCAGTTCAAGAGAAATTCCACTTCGATAAAAGATGTAACTCAACTTGACCCCTTTTACACTCTCTATTTAGTGGAAAATGGAAACATCTCAACCAAAGTCAACATGACTCCGTTGAACATATTGTTGATAGGAGATAACTCAACTTGTGTTTCTATGTATCCATTGTAAAAAGAATCAAGTCAACTTACCCCCCTTTAATTTTAAGAACTTAAACGGAAAAAAGAGCTAAGTCCATAAAATGCACCAGAGGAACCAACACTCTCTGCTGACTATCACACTAAAGTACTTTGTAGGCTTTTCTGCGCGCCAATGCACGAAATTAAACATGCACTTCGTAACGCACTAATTTTTGCGCGATAATGCACGATTTCGTGCGCAAGTATGCAGAAAATCGTGCATTCTCGCGCAGAAATTCGTGCGTTACGAAGTGCATGTTTAATTTCGTGCATTGGCGCGCAGAGAAACCTACATTGTGATTTAGTGTGATGGTTCCACTTGCCATGTCTCCAAATTCCACTTCGTTTATGAAATATAAGTTGAGATGACTCTGTTTTCCATTTTAGCGGAAAGTGGTAAGTCACTAATATCCTATACGCAGTGACCTCTCCTGATGTTCATCTCAAAACTTACATTTTTATAAAACTTGTTATCATCTGAAACATTCCATTGTTAAGTTTAAGATTTCCCTG